CGGCCTTCGGCTTTTCCCAGAGGGTCCAAAGAACCCTCCAATATTGCCCAATGTAGCTCGTCGACAGCTCCAAAGCACACCAAAACGCCCAAGAGGCGTCCAAAACGCACCCACACACGTCCACGAGGCCTCCGGATCGAGCCCGCATCGCTTAAAATCGTCCATTCCCCCTTGGTTTTTCAAGGATTTCGGCGTCCCCGTCTTCTCGCGCTTCCACGCTCCAAGATGGCCCAGGAAATGCCGAAAACCGCCCCGCGAGCGGCTCAAAACGGCCCACGCGGGTTTCCAGACGGCTCACGAAGCTCCCAAAGCCTCCGAAGGCCCCCAAAACGACTCAAGAGGGCCCTTAGCCAGCCCAAGAGAACGCCAAAACGGCCCCCAACACTACTAAAACTGGCCAAGACAGCCTAAAGAAGGCTCCCCCAAAACCCAGGAAAAGGAACACGATTCACATTTCGAACCCACCGCCTCGAAATCGCCTCAGGATCTTCCCAGGGGCTCCCCCTGCGTCACCGCGATGCCCCAAGAGGCCATGTTTTTTGCCTCTTGGGCTAGTCTTGGAGGCCTCTGGAGCCGTCTGGAGGCCATCTTGGGCGTCTTGGAGCGATCATCGGGCGTCTCGGACCCCTCTTGGACCGTATTAGGGGCCTCTTGGGGCCCTCTGAGACGATCCTGAGAGTCTTGAAGAAGGGCCCCAGGAGTTCTGGCATCCTTGAGCAGCAGTGCCTGGGGTACGTTTGGACCAGGCACTCCTAGGGGCCGCCACGCGCGCGCGAATTAGAAACCTTTCTCAATTTGTTTCCGGAGCACTTAGCACGCCTCTGGCCCGCTGGGCTTGCGAATGTATGCGTTACTCCCCGCGTTCGCTGGCGCGTGCACATTTATGTGTACATGCATACATATGTGCATGCTTGTACACGTAGACATGTACAAGTAGACATGCTACATCTGTATGCGCACACACATATTTCGACGTTGTCAATATACAGGTATACATTCAGCAACATGCAAATCCATGTGTAAATACATACGCAACAACATCCATGTATGTGTGTGTTTATGTATGTATAGGTACTACGTGCATGCACGCGTGCGTGTGCACATGCATGCGCATATTTAGGTCGCGAATGTACAAGCGCACGCACGCCGCCTTCGCGCGAAACTCAAAGGACCAAGGTGCATGGCGCGAAGCGCCATTGCAGTCTTTATATACATATATGTATATGCATGCATAAATAAATATATAGTTATATATATATATATAGAGAGAGAGAGAGAGATGTGTGTAGCGACTTTCTGACCGTCGCCGTACTAATTGGTTCCTTGGTTCGCTATCTGATCGGGTTGTGACAGCTATGGCGCGCGGTCGTTTGTGAGTTTCGAGGTCTGAGCTACTGGGGCCTGTCATGAGGCCTCTTGAGGACCTTTGGGGGGCCTTTTGGGGCCTCTTTTGGGCCTCTTGGGGACCTCTTGGGAGCCTCTTGGTGGTCTGCTGGCGGTCTCGGGGATGGGGCGGAGGGCTTGGAATCTCAGTTCGAGTTCTCCGTTTGGACTCCAAACGGAGAACTTTGGAGACCCTCTGAGGGCCCTCTGGGACCGTCTTGGGCGCTTCTTGGGCCCTCTTGGGGCGTCTCGGTGCCCTCTTGGGGGCCTCTTGGCCTGTCTTGGGGTGGTCTGGCAGACCTCTTGGGCCGTCTTGGACGCCGTGCAGGCCGAAAAGCCGCAGATGCTTAAACATGTATGTCTTCCGAACGGTAACGGGCGATGTTTGCCTCTTGGAGCTCTGTCGAGGGCGCTCTTGGAGGCCTCTTGGGGCGTCTTGGTGGCTTCTTGGGCCGTCTCGAGGCCATCTGGAGCGTCTTGGACCGATCGCTCGGCGACTCGGGGCCTTCTTGGACCGTCCGAAAGGCCTCTTGGAGCCATCTTAGCCCGTCTTCGGGCCCTCTTGGGGCACTCTGGTGTCGTCTGGGGCCCTCCAGGGGTGCTCCCAAAACAGCCAGCCCGCCGGGTCTAAACCAAGTCAGGCCCGTCTCCTGTGTATATAGGTACTCATTACATTAGCACACACATATATACACATCTCACTATGTGTATATGTATACACAGATTTTTGTGGGCTGGTAGATGTAATTATGTATGACATAAGTATATAGATGTATGTATGCGATATTTGACCGGCTCGCTTCGCTTCGCCTGAAACATCTTGATGCATGGCGCCATGGAGGCCCGCCGAGACCGCTGCACGCCAGTTCTGCGATGTGCTTCGGCTATAGGGTCCATGGGTCACGCGAGGCTGACAGGACCCATGGGCTCTACCGGGTCAGAGGGCTCAAAGGCCTTTCCGCCGACATTGGGGCCCAGAGGCTCGGAGCCTGATTGGGAAGAGGGGTAATTCGGCCAGCGCGGGTCATGGGGATCATGAGGTTCCGAGGGCCTTCAGGCTTCAGGCGTGATTGTGTATACAGGGCTCCTCGGGATATATATATATATATATATATATATATAATTACCTAAACACACATGTATGTGTACATATATATATATATATATATATATATATATATATATTTATATACACAAGATTTTGCAGGGTGCGCGAATGCCCTGACCGCGTCTGAGGTGTCCCTGCGGTCCGAGCGGGCACGGGGAGGTTCCCGAAGGATCTCAGGCTGGCCCGAGCTTTTTTCCCTGGGGGCTCAAACTCCAAACCTCAGAGCCAGCACGTCAGAAGTCTGGACATGCGACCCGAAATGTCCGCAGTCTTGAGGGCGGCGACATGCCGGGGTACGGGAGAGGTGCGCGCAATGATGGCGTTGCAGCCTCCCCCCCCCCTCGCGCGTGGTAGGCCAAACACGCGTGCTGGAGCTATGGGGGCGCGCTACGCATGCCGTTGGCCACGCCTGCTAAACGTGCAGAGGGCTTCGAACGGCTACCGAACAATTCCTCAGAGGCCTCCGAAAGCATCCACGAAAAAACTCGAGCAGATATCCGAGAAACCCTGGACCCCCACCTACGGCCTCGCAAGGGGGGGAAGTGCGACGAAGGCGAATGCATCAATCGTGAGCTGGCGCCGCGCGACGCAGAAGTGTAGGCGGCGCCCGCAGGCAAGTCTTAAAGGGGGTCTTAGCTGGGGTGTCTTGGGATGCCCTCTCGGGGGCTTCTTGGAAGCTCTTTGGGCTTCTTGAGGGCCTTCGGGGTGCCTTGTTGGGCACGTCTTGGGCCCTCTTGGGGAGGCCTCGGAGGCCTCTGGGAAGCTCTGGGAGACATCTTGGGACAGAAGGCTCGAAGTGTCGGTTCGTGCTCCACCTTCTTGGGCCCCTCTTGGGGCTGTCTTGGGCCCGGCTTGGGCCGTTTAAGGGGTCTTTTGGGCAGTCTTGGGGCCCTCGGGGGCTGTCTGCGGACTCTTGGAGGCCCCTTGGGCCGTCCTACCATTTTTGATGCCAGAGGCTCCCTTGGAGACTCCGTTGGGGCTCTCTTGGCCCCTCTGGGGGCCGTCTTTAGACTGTCTCGAGGACTTCTTCGGCCGTGCTGGCCGCTGTTGGGACCCGAGATGCGAATTTTCTTGCGTTGGGGCCTTTCCGGGGCAACGTCTTGAGGAACTCCTGGGCCGGCTGGAGGGTCTTCCGGATCGTCCGGCGTGCGGCCAAATATTTAACGTACGATGTTTACTTTGTTTTCCCTTGTAGGAATATTTGATTCGGAACTTACGTGCTTGTACACCAATTGGTTGCATAGCGCACTCATATATACATAGACATGCATACATACATATATACATCTACGTACACGAATACATGGCTGGATGGATACATATGTATATATATATATAAACATATGTGTATGTATGTATGTATGTATGTATGTATGAATGTATGTGTGTATGCATGCATGAATGTGTGTATGTATGCATGTATGTGTGTATGTATGTATGTATGTATGTATGTATGTATGTATGTATGTATGTATGTATGTATGTATGTATGTATGTAGGTATGTATATAGGTATGTATGTATGCATGCATGCATGCATGTATGTATACATGTATGCATGTAAGCATATGTGCATGTCTGCATGTATGCATGTATGTATGTATGTATGCATGCATGTATGCATGTATGCATGTATGCATGTATGCATGTATGCATGTATGCATGTATGCATGTATGCATGTATGCATGTATGCATGTATGCATGCATGTTTGTATGCATGTATGTATGTATGCATGTATGCATGTATGTATGTATGTATGTATGTATGTATGCATGCATGTATGCATGTCTGCATATATGCATGTATGCATGTATGCATGCATGCATGCATGCATGCATGCATGTATGTATGTATATATGTATGTATGTATGTATGTATGTATGTGTGTGTATGCATGCATGCATGCATGCATGCATGCATGCATGCATGCATGCATGCATGCATGTACGTATGTATGTATGTATGTATGTATGTATGTATGTATGTACGTATGTATGCATGTATGTATACATGCATGTATGTATGTATGTATGTATGTATGTATGTATGTGTATGTATGTATGTATGTATGTATGTATGTATGTATGTATGTATGTATGTATGTATGTGAGAGCGGGGCGAGTCTGTGACCGAAGTAAATCGAGTTGAAATGCAGCGGTCGGCGCTTCGGGGGACGGCGCCGATCTCGGCCAGATCTGGGGCCTCAGGGGAGCCCCTAAGCCCTCGTGTTCCCGGCCTCGAGACCTGGGGTTAAGTCGGGCTCGTCCCTCTACAGGGGGAATATTCAAAAACAGTCAAAAAATAGTCTGGGGACTCATTGTTGGGTATTTTTTGGCCCTTTTGGAATAATTTTGGGGTATTGTTCATTTTTCGTCGAAAACCCCCCTGTAGGGGGACACGCCCGACTGAAACCTGGGGCCCGCGCGCACGAAAATTTCGAGCATGCAACAGCAACAGAAAAGGTAAGCGAAGCGATCACACTTGACAGCGAACAGAGAACAGCTGGAGGTCGAGCGGGCGCGCCGCAAGGAGGCCGAGCGGGAGGCGGAGGCGAGGTGGGGCGAGCTGCAGCGAGCGCGGCAGGAGCACGCGAGCTGGGATGAGAATGTGCGGGCAGAGATCAAGGACAACCAGCTACGCGCGAAGGAGCTCGAGGCATCGAGGAGGAGAGGCGCAACCCTGGAGCCGGCTGGGGGGCCAGGGTGGGGCATCATTGGTTCCAGCGGTCAAGGAGGGAGGGAGGCACCATTGTACACAGATTTCGTTCCCTGTCCCCTCTGGGCCTCCTTCTCCAGATGGGCATGGAAGGCCGCGTTTGCCCACATTTCCTTTCCTGGCTAGTCCTGCTGGTGCCCGTCAGAGCGGGCCCTCTAGCCGCCTCCAAGGACACACATCATTTGTCGGAGGGCCGCGCGGATGTCTTGGGTCGGCGCTCCGCGCGCCTGGGAGGGGGGTCCAGTGCCGATCCAAGAAATCCGCGCGGACCTTCGACAGTTTTCGTTTGTGCCGACGTGTTTTTCTTCTGCAGGTGGAGATCCAGAAGTACCGTTCGAAGCTGACCAAGCTGGGCAGCACCGTGGGCGAGCTGCAGGCCAGCGAGCGCAGGATGCTGGAGAGCAACGCGGCGGAGATCCAGCGCGACAAGGAGAGGTTGATGTCGAAGGTGTCTGCGGACTGGAACCTGTGCAGTCCAGCAGAGGCCGCCACCACCTTCGAGCGCAAGTGCGACGAGTCGTTGGCTCGCAGGGGCGAGTGGCACGACGGGGTCTGTGAGGGCATCGAGAGTGGCCACAGCAGCGACGTGGGAGCCCTGGAGCAGCAGTATCGTCAATTCTTGTCGGAGCGAAAGGCGGAGGAGCATCGCCTCACCTCGGAGATCGAGCGGTGCGCAGCGGAGGGGCAGAGTCAGCGGCAGCAGCTGCATGGCGACCTCATCGACACGCACGACTTGGCGCGGCAGCTCGGGCAGGTGGTCGACAAGCTGGTTGTGGGAGTGCCCAACGACCTGCGCATGGGCATCAGGCCGCCTCCGCCGCCGTCGGAAGATCTCGGCGCCAGGCTGGTGGCCGGCGGCCTCCTCTCGGACAGGCTTGTGGAAGAGCTTCAGAGGAGCATGGCGGAGGTGCGCCGGCAGGTCACTCGGTCGCGACTGGCCGCCCCGCGCGCCGCCGTGGCGCCGGGGGCGGGCGCGACCGACGACGACGGTGTCAGGCCGATCGCCGGCGCCGGGCTCCACGAGCCCCTGCAGACGCTGGGGCCGCACCAGCTGAGGGCGGCCTGCCTTGCGCTGAGGGGCCGCGCCCGCATGAGCGCCGAGGATCGAAGAAGAACCGCGTCATGACTGAGCACAAACTCTCGGAGGTCCGCGCGGATTTCTTGGGTCGGCGCTGGACCCCTGGCGGCATCTCCGGCGCCGTCCCCTGGCGTGCTCCGCGCGCCAGGAAGGGTGGTTCAGCGCTGGCCCAAGAGATTCGTGCGGACCGCTGTAAGCTTACTCCGAGACGTTCAATGAGCCCCCCACCATGCCGTCCCGCCCGACGGCCCGTCCTGCCCCCCCTCCTCCCCACTACGCGCACCGAACCGACCCCCGCACGCGATGCCCCCAGCCCCCACGCCGCGCGAACAACAGCCCATTTCCTTCTCCCCCCGCGCGATCCACCCACCACGCTTACTCGGGCAACTCAGAGTACGTTTACAGTTGGGAACTTTTGGTTAGCGTGGCTTGCTTGGCATAGCTTGTCCCCGGGGCCGCCGCGGCGACACGCTGAGCAAGGGTTCCCCACCTTGCAGTCGTGCACTTGTGCTCTGGTCTGGAGGAGGCGGAGGCCCAGCGCGCGCGGCTCTTCGACGAGGTTGCCTGCGAGTTCGACGGCCACGGCAGCCTGGAGGTCGTCCGCACCCTCGAGGCAAGTGCATGGTCGCCCGGCCGCCTCTCGAGGGCCCGGGGGGGGGGGGGGACGGGGTCGAGCGGCAGGGCAGGCGGACCGAACCCCACCCCCTGGCAGGGCCGCCCGTGACCCGACCCGGTGCGACTCGACTCGCCGGCCGGGGCCGCGCTTCCGAGCGGGCTCTCGGGACGATCGCAACGGGCACGGAAAAGAAGGGGCACGAGGACCTACAGTGTTTCCGGATCAGCCTGGGCAAGATTCGCTGACGGCGTCGCGCGGTCGCTGCACCTTCGAGGCAGAAGGCCGCCAGCCCAGCAACAGCCGCTGACGGTTTTGGACAGCACTTGTTCTTGGGCATCGTACCCATTTCTGTTTGCATCCGTTTCGGGCGTCCAAAGATTCGCTGGCATCGGCCAGGGCCAAATGAAGCCCGGCGCAGCGATCCGATCTCCATTTGCTTCAGGCCGGCTCGCCGGCGATCCGGACCGTTTCCGATCCGATCCGGCTGTGCGATTCGATCCAGTTGAGGCTTGCAGTGCCCAGCCGCATTCGAAATCGGCTGGTTCTTGATCGATTCGGCTTGCCGCGACGCGTTTGAGGAAGAAACGACGTAATGAACATAAGCTTTTGGAGGTCCGCGCGAATTTCTTAGGTCGACGCTGGACCACCTCCCGGCGGCGCCTTTGGTGCCGCCCCTGCGCGCGCCAGGGAGGGGGCCAGGGGCGGCGCCAGATGATCCGCCAGTGGCCCGCACCTCTGACGTAGGTTTTTTCCACAGCCTGGACCCTGGAGGCCCCGCACCTCGCACCCTTCTTCCGGGACCCGTTGTTTTCATCCCAGGTTGTTGTGTTGATTATTCAGGGGCCTGGCAGGCCCCCACCTCCTCTCGTTGCCAAGAGATCACAACCGGAGGCTGTTGGCCGTCTTCGGCCTCTGGGGGCCTTCGCAGGGCCTCGGGGCAGCACGAGCCCGCACGAAAACCTGGCCCTGGGGAAGGTCCAGGCCTTGGGGGGCATCGGCGGTGCTATGGGACTGGCCCCCAGATGCGAGCAGGAACAGCCACCGCGCTTGTTCCACGGCGCGAGGTTGTCTGCGACGCCGTCGCGACGTGAGCCCGCCGTGCTCGACCTCGGGGAGGGGGGTGGGGTCTGCTCGCCGGCTCCTGGCCCCAAGCCGCCCCCCGCGCCTCGAGGGCCACGTGGCGGTCGGGAACTTTGGCTCAGCGTGTCGCGCCGCCGGTGATGGCCCACCAAGTTTCTGCGCGGCTCTATCCACGTCCCAGTCCCAGGGCGTCGACGTCCCGAGCCTCTCCCAGCCTCCTGCCCCGCGGAGCGGGAGCGACGTGCTATCAGCTCGCAGGGCACTGCGTGTCGCTGGGGCCGCCGTCGTGACACGCTATCCCGTTATCCCTCCGGAGCGTAGTAGGCCCAGGGGGGGACGCATCGACCCCCCACGGCCCATGGATGGCCGATAAGTGGCCCGATAGGCCCACTCCGCCCAGGAACGCGCGGATGGGCTATCGGGGTCCACCGTCGATTTATCGGCGACGTATCGCAGCTCGCTGTTTCCCCCCCTTTGGGCCGCCCCCCCCCCCCCCCCAACGTTCTCCTCCCCCACCCTGGGCCCCGAGGGGGTTGGTCGACCATGGCTCGAGGCCGAGATAGAGGCCTACCGCGCCGGGCTCCGGAGAGAGGAGGATGGGCGCGGCTAGCAAACACTTGCCGCGAGGGAGAAAGTCCTGAGGCGGAGGGGGCCTGTAGCCTTTTGTAAGTTTCAGGGGTCCCCAGGCCCTCTACAGGCCTCGTGGCCGTCCAGAAACGAGCCAGTATGAGGAGTTGGTCCTGGAGGAAGCCCCCCAGGGTCCAGGACCCCTTCTGACGATGAGGACCCTTGTCCTTCATACGCATAACATGGGCAGGGTCCGGGGGGACATCCTCCCGATCATCGAGGAACTCCAAACAAGTTGCATGAGCACACACCTTCGGAGGTTCGCACAGACTCCTTGGGTCGTCGCCGGACTCCTCCGGCCTCCAGAGGCCGAACAATTCGAACAACCGTACTTCTGGTATCGTTTTGTTTGTTTGTTGCGACACCTGGCCTGTCTGATGTCATGTTTTGCATATTCGCAGGGCGCTGGCTAGGTACACGGATATCGGCCAGGATCGGTGTGTGTGTGTGTGTGTGCATGGATGTGTGAATGTGTAAATGTGTGAATGTGTGAAAGTGTGAATGCGTGAATGTGTGAATGTGTGTATGTATTTCCTCATTCCAGCATTCCAGGCCTTTATTCGTCCTGCCCTCGTTGCCACTGTCTTTGCCTTGTCCCCTGCCTCCGCCGTACGCCCTGTGGCCCGACCTGTTCTCCCTAGATTTGGGCTAGCGCTCAAGCACCTGTCGAGCCGATGTGCGCACATCTTGATGGGTTGCGGGGGAGGCAGCGCTTTAAAGAGAACATTGATTTGCATGTGTGATTGTTGATCGACTGCAGGCTTCCGCCATTCCGATGCTCGCCTGCTGATCAGCTTCATATCCATATTGCGTACATGTCTTCGTGCGTGTGTTAGCGCTGCTGTGGGGCAGTTGCCCACGTTCAGCAGTGTACCGCAGGCGCTTCGAGTTCCCTACCCACGGACGTTTTCCGTCATGTTCGGTCTCGTTTCTTTGTTCCATGTTTCAGATTGGCAGGACGTTCCAGTCTCGAGGGGATGACGTGTTCCGCCGCTTTGTTTGTTCTCGCCGCCCTATGTCCGCTTCCGGTGTGCTCTCGGTGAGAGACAGGCTTCTCGACTAAGTACGTTACGTGTGTTCTTGGATGTCCCCCCTGTGAGAGATTATGCTGGAGTTTCCCCCCGATGTTCGTGCCCTTGGTTGCCCTGTCCATCCCCTCCTTGTTGGCACTCTCCTTCGCGGCCAGTTTGTGGTCACCCTCCCCAGCAGATGTTTATGGCGTTGGAGGTCTTGGAACGTGAGCTGTCCTTCCTGGATTTTGGCTCTTGTGTATCCCTAGCTGCTGTGACCCACTGAACTCATGTGGCGATTGTGGTTTCCACATCCATGCGGAGGTTGCGTGGCGCTCTGGTGGGAGGACGCAGGAGGCGCGAACAAGTTCGGAAAGCCCTA